ACTATCTCCAGTATTATTGTTTGTGCTGTACTGTATGTGAGCAAACCAGATGTACTCACAGCTGAGATGTGCTGGTATATGTTTCCCTGTTAATCAAGCAATAGCTTGGTGCGATAAGTAGTCTAATATACTATAGGACTAGCCGTGTGTCTGTCTGTCTGTCTGTCTGTCTGTGTGTCTGTGTGTCTGTTCTGGGCAGCCGAAATGGCACAATCGTTTTTCATCAAACTTGGTGGAAAAATCGCAAAAAAATCGTAGAGTGGAACAAACCTGGTCCCATGTCGATGGTTTCTTTAGGAAGGCATTAATTAACCATTTTAATTAAGCTGGCAAAAGATGTCGCTGTACGCTGTCAGCCGGACGATTGCAGTTATCGTACGGCTCCCCCCCCCCCCACTTTTTCTCTTAGCCTACTTTTTTTCATGTTGTTTGGATTAGTAAAAGAAGGAAGATGAGTAAATAGAAGAATAAAGAAGGGGAAACAGAAAATAGTTAGAGATAACAGGTGGGGGGAGCTGAGTTTCATCATGTGTCTGGATGCGCAGTTTCAACGTTACCAGAGTATTTTCGGACCTTATGAGGCTACAGTGTATACTTATTCCTGTAGCTGACTGTACATGGAAAAGGAGAAGAGATAAAAAGATAATAACAGGAATGCATGGAGAAGATAGAAAGGGAGAAGAAGAGAGACTGAAGAATTATTATCCTTCAGAGGCGAGCGAGGATAGACACACTTATAAAAGACAAAGACAACATATAAGACAGACAGACATGACTACAATAGACACAGGGTGAATATAGACAGTGAAACAGACAGGAGGTTGACAAAAAAATAGACAGATTCATACATGCACAAATAGACAATATGGCAACTAACATGACAGACAGACAGACCGACAGGTTGACAGTTGACAGACTGGTTCACATTAGACAAACAGGCAGACACACGCCAACAACGGATAAGACAGACAGATTTGACGACACAAAGAGTGCAGACGGGATTACAGTCAAACACCACGCAGACGAACAGACAGTTGGGATGGCAATAGACAGGACGGATAGACTTGAGACAGATTAGAAGGCATTTATGAACAAGAATAACACCAAATTGACCATAGCTGCGTCAGTGAGGGTAGTTGGTATTACATCCACCAGCGTAAATAATAAGACGCATTGAAAACTAACACCCTCGCGCGGAAAGAACATCGATGGTCGGTCAGTCATGTGAGATAGGCCTAAAATTGACTAACGTAGATGATGACTATGATGACTTAACACAGGTGATGACTTAAGCAGATGGTGACTAATATAACCAGAATCAAGGTCACTTCTCTTCATGATATAATTTATCTCGGAATGATCATCAGTGATTCATAATAATTTTTTTTTTAGGATTTTAACCTCTCCTTATGGCGAATATTTCTTTAACTAATTATTCTAACCTTTATTCTATTCCTTCCTATAATATACTAGATACTTACAGTATCCGAAAGACATTAGCTATTGGAAATGTGATTAAATGTTTTGTTATTAATCCTGTTGATTAGGTGAGGTTAATCTGGGTTTATTGAGATTAAAGATTAGGTGTGGGGTTTATTCTACCTGTGTTAGTCTCAGGTACGACCCTTATTGTAACAATCACGACCATGATTATAACAACCAGGACCATGATTATAACAACCACGGCCATGATTATAACAACCACGACCATGATTATAACAACCACGACCATGATTATTGCAACCACAACCATGATTATAACAACCACGACCATGATTATAACAACCACGACCATGATTATAACAACCACGACCATCTAGAAAACGATGTCGCTGTACTCTGTCAGCCGGACAACGGTTGCACGCTAGCCAAGCACGAGCGTTCGAACTTTCACGCCTCGGTAAATTGTACAGTACCACCGGACTCGCCACCGGGCACGAAGGGCCCACAATCACTTGTACCATCACTATAGAGTGACCGGCACTACTGTCACTGTTGTCCTGAGGTATAATTTTGAACGTTGTAAATGATAACTGAAGATCGATTTTTGCTACTTAGAAAGTACAACCTATTGGTCCGTTCTATTTTGCTAAGTGTTACCGGAAAGTAATCAGTAATTGAGCCTAGGCTTTGTGTTATGAGTGAAGGATCAAAGTGTCAACATATTCAGACTTGTATTTAATATACAGTATAATGATTCAGTATAATGTGTGTATCACCCCTCATTCCTTCTAACAATTGCCATCCCTGAAAATACACCTGATAATTCACGTGATTAACCACTGGTGCATACCACGCTACCAATTTAATTGAGAGGTTCATTGTGGATATTATATTCCAAAGATAAAGCCTGGGTGGTGGCAGCTCTAAGATGTAGGTACAGAGAATATACGAGTTTGTAGGAATAGACAGAGATATGGGTGTTCCAGGTTAACCCACAGAATAGAATATAACTATATACATTTTTTTTTTTTTTTTTTTACGGGGATTAGCCCACCCGGACACAGGTCACTTGACCCACATCGGGGCCTGGGGGGCGAAAATGTAATAATAATAATAATAATAATAATAATAATAATAATAATAATAATAATAATAATAATAATAATAATAATAATAATAATAATAATAATAATAATAATAATAATAAATAATAGTCATAATAATTCATAATAAATAAAATTTATGATAAAACAAACAAAATAAAATAATAAAATAATGATGATAATAATACAGTAACTGTAATAATAATAATATTAATAATAAAGAACTATAAATACAAAAATTAAAAAAAAGATCAAAAGTGAGAATTGATATACAGTATGTATGTTGTGTTGTCAATGGTAAGAAAAACAATTGAGACCCTGCAATTGTGTGTAAATGAAGCAGAAAGTCAGATCAGCAACCTGGGACTTTCATGATGCCATATGGCAGCAGGGTCTACCATTAGACAACACATTATGCTTCCAATATCTTCCCAGGCAGTAGTACCTCCCTGTTTGGAATAAGCAAACATTTAAAGAAGTGCAGTGGATACTGTAATCGCTCTCTTGGTATTACATGAATTGTCTTAAATAATTTCTGGAACTCTTAAGTTACTGGGCTAAAGAAAACACTTTGCTGTTTTTTTCTTTATTGTAGAAAAATACAGTTTCACAGGTACTTAGTTCGTTTGAGAGTATATTATGCCTTCTCTACCACGGGAAGTGTCTTGAGTGCATTTATATATGAGAAAACTTAAGTGAGGTGTTCACTGGGTAACTAGTGATAAAAGTCTGATTTCCGTGGCCATGAGAAGAGGAGCCGGCCGGCAGGCTGCTGTGCTTAATGGCTTGACCTCGTCTGACTCCTGATGAAGTGATGGACTCAGCATGTATAGCTTGAACAGGTATTGAGTCATTGTTGAAATACTTTAGTGAATAATTTGGTATTATACATTTGGGTGAATATTTTTATAATGCAAATGGTGCTGTTACACCGCTCGGCCACCTCCAACCTAGTCCTCACTGCTTAAATCCTAAGTGTACCCAAGGCTGGCATTACTGTACGGTATGGTACGAAGTACGGTACGGTGCAGTTGATATTTAGTCAGAATGTACGGTACGGAATTACTGTTTGATATTTTCCTTGAAGTCCGGTACGGTACGGTTTGGGTATGGAAAAATGAGCAAAATTCCATACCGTACCATACCCCAGGCTTAAAAACATGATCATGCAATTATTAACCTCTTGAGGATTGTGACGCATTTTGACAGTTTATTCTGGCTATCATTAGACACTTTTATGCAGCTTAGGAAGGATTTATGGGAATAAACAGTATAGACTAGCCATCTGTCTATTGTCTTTCATATACCCTTCCTAAATTAAATAAAATCATCTAATAATAGTTAGAAAAGAGAAAAGAAATGTGTCATCGATCTTCAAAGGGTTAATGCGTTGGTGGCTTCAGTGCGTGAACTTACGTGATCAGTACGGTCCGCCAGGCGCCAGCTGGTAGTCTGGTACTGTCAGTACTGATCACGATGCGTCACGCGAACTATTCAGGTATAACTTGAGAGTTGAGAGTAGTGTCTCCAACTCTCCACACTCCAAAGTCACTCCTTCCATTGTCGTTGTCACCGTCGGGAGCATATTTACATCTATAGTCACTTCGTAAATGTTCCTTTTCAAATCCACACATATACTCTAATAAATTGTTCACAAATAGAGAATTATTTTGATGTAAATATATTTTGTTGATGGTACGATAAAAGTACGAAATTACGGTACGGTATTTTTTCCGTACTGTACGGTACGGAAAAATAATTGGGAGGACGGTACAAGATTATGGTCCGGTATTTTAGCCAGGTACGGAGTACGGAAAAATATTCCGTACGTACCGTACTACCAGCCTTGGATGTACCTAACCTTGTTACAATAAAGTGTGCTTTACCTTAACTTTTTCCTTCTTGCACATGCTTTTGCGTCTTGAAGTGATGAGAAAACGGACTCCTCAGATGGAGGACTCAAACGAAAGCAGAGTTACATGTTTTGTGGGCTATTGAGCGTAATATGAATCATCTGATTTTGGCGCTAACTGACGTGTATGACCGTGGTCGTTACAAAAACATAGAGAATTGACACGCACATAGAGAAATTAGACAACTGGCCACATATATTACACTACAAGAGTTCCTACAGAATTACTTAGCAGCCCCTGTGTCTATTGCTTGAATATCTGATAAAAAGTCTGTAGATTAAGCCTCCTTTTCAGAAAAAAAATCCGTCAATCTGAAATTATGCATGAAATCTGTAGATCTATAGATAAATCTGTAGAAGTGGCAAACTGCATGCACTATATTACAGACGTGACCGATCAGGATGCACTCATGTACTGGAAAATACAAAATTCGCAAAATTAGTCTTTAATCTTCAAATATAGAATTAATATTTTATAATAAAAATTTATCCACGGATTATTTCCTAATAATGTAATCCATATTAAAGTAAATACTTACATTTACGTCCCCTTTTGGAGAAGGTGCGAGAAAACCTTGTTCTCATTGGCAGATAGTGGCTTCATTTGCTGAAAAGTTGATTCTTCTTGACTAGAGGTCTTCCTAGTCACTATACTGCTCGACCGTTAGTCTACTCTGGTTAGGTTGTAGATCTGGAAGGTATTATTGGTGGAGGAAAGTAATTCCACAACACAAACACGACCAGCGGCCAAATATAACCAGAAGGGCGCCCAACACAACAACTTGTCGTGTTAACTGTAGAGCCAGGACGTAGTTGACTCACATTGCAGTATGTCGGTAAAGAAGATTGTGTCCGAAGAAGAATTTCTGGCTCTTGAAAGGTAAGTTCATTGTTTTGTATCACCCTTTTGCACCACAGCTCATCAAGAACACTCAGGGCTGGGTTTTCTGTTTCCCAATTTCCCCAATTGGTCACCAACCCGTTTCGTCACCGTGTCATTCCCATCAATACATACACGAAAATTACTTTTGCTTGGGATTGAAAATAATAAAAAAAAACCCACTAAGCCAATTTATTAAAGGCGAAAATAAAAACATTGTTAGTACGCCTGCCATCATCTACTGCGCGATGGCTTATACCAAATCACCTTCATTTCTTCTGTATTTTGTTTATTACCAATGTTGAATCGTTTTATTTTTTTATAAAACAATTAATATTCATATATAATAATAACAATAATTGGAAAATTTGCTTTAATGCACACAACTTTGTTTAAGAGTCAAAACTATGTTTTTCTAGTGTATTTTTGTGTTTTGATTAGTTGTGATCAAGATTTCCATTGCAAATTGCTTTTTTTTTTTTTAGTTATCTGGGGTTTTGGGTGGGGCTTTTTCCAACAAAAATCATGGCCAAGCCAATACAAAATAGACATACCAAAAAACACTAGAAAAAACATAAACCTAACCTAATCTAAATTAACCTAACCTGTCACCATATGATGGAATCAATTATTTCATACGTTATTGGCCTGGTTACACTCGTTCTTACACTTAAACACTACCTGAGGTCAGGAGAACACCATGAGATCTAAAAAAATGCTACTGCTTGTTCGTTTTTTTTTCCCAAATGCGCAATCAACACCATATAATTGAAGTGACACCCATCGCAGACTTCCATGGTCGGAAATGAATTTGAATTTTGAAATATGAGAGACCCAAAATCACAACTGAAGAAAATTAAACCACAATTCATTTTAATTGGTGGCAAAAAAAGAGAAGCTTTTGATTGGCCGCGTGACGTGTACGGGAACGCATGCTCATGACGATTTATGAAGGAAACACGCTGAGTGGGAGGTTAGGTAGGCGATAATGGCGGAAGATTAATGGAAGTAAATAGAGAAAGCTTTGGCATGCTCTATCTCCGTTATTATACGTTTGCGACAGTAATGTAATAGATGAAAATTATCTTAAAATTAGATGTCTTTTTTTAATATGATAATAGATTTGGGGGAGGAAAGTTGTGTGTACGAATGCAAAAATACCCAATAATTCGTCATTTGTTCTGTATTTTGTTTGTTTACCATGTTTTAATAATTTTCTTTATTAAATAATTAATATTAATGTATAATAATAATAATACAATACTTATCGAGTCGTCTGTATACGTGTGTAATTTTTATTTGTGTTAAATAATAACTTACAATTTGTCACTAATACCAGCAACTGTTAGTGGTGACGAACCGGTTTGGTGATGAAATGGGGTGTAGCCAGATATTGGTGTACCTCCAACTCTTATTAATTTTACTTTTATAGTGAAGGTGTAGAAGAGGGTGACCACCAGAAGTTGTTTGTTGATTTTCTTTATTTTTGCTATACAGGGTACTTATTGTTTTGACCATGGAAAATATATGAAAAGAAATGACAACTAACTATTTTAATTTTAATTATTTTTTGTTCTATTTTTTTATTTACTCTATCCCGCTTCACAATTCTCCTCCCGGCGCCATTTTTGTTGTTTACCTCGCTGAATCCCTCTTCAAGAGACGTCTCCTAAATGATGGTGAACGCTTCCATGTATTCCTCCTCGTTATTGCTGATGTATATCAACCTCAATATTAAGGTAAGTTGTTTAACACATAAATTAACATAGAATCTAATAGAACCTGACCTAACAAACCCATAGGTTAGGTGTGTTAGGTCAAGTTCTATTATGTTCTATGCATTGTCGTTTCCATTTTTGTGTTTACTATCATGATATTAGTGTGTAGAAAAAATTTCAACCAATTTGGACAATTCCTTCTGGTGGTCACCCTCTTCTACGCCTTTACCCCTTTTTTTTTTTTTTTACCTTTATCCTCTTCACCACTGATCGGCTCGTTAGCCGCTTGGGCGATCGGTCACGTCTCTGTTGCGCACTGTTGACAAGTACTGGGCAGGCACTGGCTCCTGAATGTATCTGAACCTGCTCCAGTGTTGGTCAAGTCTGGTCTTGAAACAGCTCACACTCGGCGCCGTCACAATGCTCTCTGGCAGATTGTTCCAAGAGTTCACAATTCTCACTCCAAAAAGTTACCCCTCACAGTTTTCTGGGCTTGCGGCTTCTTCAACCTTTAGCTGCGTCCCCTTGTAGGGTGAGCGTCCGCCAGCTCCAGGTAAGGGCACTCGATCAGATCGCCCCTTGCTCGTCTGTAGTGTAAGCTAGGCAATTTCAGGCGCTCTAATCTTTCAGGGCAGCTGAAGTGCTGCAGTGCAGGCCCTCCTTTGGACATTTTCAAAAACTGACAGTCTCTAGCATATCTAGGGGACCAGACAGGGAAGCCCTTCACTCTTGAAGATCGTTCCGAGGGATGGACCGTTTAGATATCTGAGCGACCTTCTTATTAGACCTAATAATTTAATTGCCCATTTCCAACTCAGTCCATCTTAAATAACCAACTGGGCCCACATATTACTAACTAGGCTCACCTTGCATGCTTCAAACAAGTAGCTGACAAGAGGTTCAGGAATGAGTTTGAGATATGTTTTATGTCTCTTTTTGGTTTACTGAAATACGAAGAGTGTGAATGAGTGAATACCGAGGGTTCAATCGGTATGAAAGACGAATTTCATGAATTTTTGTTCATAGATCTATCTCCCTTCTTGAAAATCGGTATCACATTCGCTATCCTCCAGGATTCAGGTACTACACCTGTTTTTAATGAATTATTAAACACAATTGCTCAGGGCGTACTAAGCTTTTCCTTACATTCCTTTAAGACTCTGGCAAATATCTCATCGGGACCTGGTGACTTACTAGGCCTTAGCTTGTCTATTTGCTTGCTAACAGCATTACTAGTCACTACTATCACGCTTAATCTATGTTCTTCACTATCTCTGTATATAGTCGGTGCCTCGGGTATCATGTTTAAATTTTGGGTGGTGAAAACTGTCGAAAAATACCTGTTCAGATTATTGCTCATTTCTCCATCGTTATCAGTTAGCTCGCCGGTATTGGCCCAATCTTGTCTCGCATTTTAGTTTGATACATTTGAAAGAATCCCAAGGGGGTTTAACTTCGCCTCCCTTGCTACCTTCAGTTCATTATTCCTCTTTGCTTTTCTCATCTCGGTCTTACCCCTACTGGCCAGTACCTTATAATAATCTGGGAGGTAAGCTTCACGATTTATTCTACCCATAGCCTTCCTTTGGTCAATAATATTCCTTAAATAATTATTTATCCATTTGAGGTCATTATTATTTGACCTGAGTTTTCTGTATGGTATGTTCTGCCTTTGTGCATTAAGTAACGACTTCTATTGTTCCATTTATTAACATTAAATAACATTACTTAAAACAACCATATTAATTTTACTACAGCTACAACCAAGGTCTTATTTTCTTCAGTTTTATATGCAGAACCAGTCAGTCACTGGTTTTGTAATCAATGAAAACAATGCTGTGTCATTTCCTCGTGTGTTTTAATATTCTACGTATTATTAATGAATTGTATTGCTCATTTTGCACACATAAACATTAATTCAATAAAAAAGACTTTCAGTAATGAACAATAATGAATCTTTTGTACATAAGAGAAATGACGCTGTTTACACGATTATGCAAGTCGTCTGCACGTTGGCGGGCCGTTCAAACCCGTCGAAATTCAAGTTTCTGCCGTCAAAATTTTTTTTTTTTTGTGTGTTCCAATAAAATACGTTGAATTAAAAACTCGGGAAATTTGAGAAGCTACTATACGACATTTAACCCTTCAATATGTCTTCAAAGAGACCATGATGCAGAGAAAGTGGTGCTAGTGCATCCAAGCATAAGCACAAGTCACTATCTATCCAGGAAAAGGGTGAATTTCCATGGTCCAGCACCGGTCAGGTCCCGAGGTTGCCGAACTAGAGAGGTACAACCTGTATTATTTGTATCTTTTTTATTTCAGAAATGATGGATTATTTGTGGTCCACTTTATGGCTGACTGGGCTCCACAATGTGGCCAGATGAATGATGTTATCAGTGAATTAAGCAAGCAGCGAGAATTAAAGGTGAGTAACTATTAACCTAGCGTGCATGGACGTATTCCCCCGTTATTTTATTATCTGGTCAAGAAAAATTATATAATATTAGGCTCTGGATTCCTGGTGACCTTACACTTTCCCTGTTGAAACAAAATAGTTTTATATCTGTCACTGTGGATTGGTTGATTCGTGTAACTGGGACCATTTGTTACCGTATTCACGTTTTTTTGTATTTGTTCGTTAGATTTTCTTTTGATCAGGCCTCTTTTGGTGTAGGTTTCATAATTAATAATATGAAATATTAAATAATAAAAAAAATATGTCGTATGGATAGAACATAACTGTCGTATGGTAGTCATGGATTATTACTTTATATACAGCCCCTGACTTATGAAATTTGATATGGACAGTTCAGATTTCGTCCGATTTATCCAAAATCCGGATTAAAGGGGTCCGAATTGACGAGGGTCGACTGTACGTATTTTCGAGCCCCAACGTCAGTACACAGATAAAATTTTTGTTTGTAACTCACTTTAAAATGGCTGTCAAGCTTAAAAGTGAGAGTTTTGTGGTGCTGAGAAGAAAAAGAGACACCCATTTTAGATTTTCTATGTATTATTTAAGCATTTTCGACTTACGACCATTTCGACTTATGACCTGGATTTGGGTACCTAACCCCATCATAAGTCGGGGAGGAGCTGTAGTTCATTGTGTATTACATTGAAAATTTGTCATGTACTGTACATCATTCATTACCACGTTGTAATTATTACATAAAAATGCTAGATCAGAAAATAACTTCCAATTGTCGACTGTGACAAATGAATATGAAATGCTACATTGGCAACTTAAATGTTGCCAACATGTTAAAATTTTCATAAAAGCGGTGGGCAGCATTTTGAAGTCTCCTCTATCGCACAGAATTTATTTAAAAACACATGTTCTTACCTTCAAAATGGTTTAAAAAAATAAATGTTTGAAATTAAAACTGATTGAAATTTTTTTAAATGACACAAGTGTCAGACTCTGATTAGGGTATGTTATCAGTGATCAGTCAATTCACACCCATCGCTCGGCCCGATTCCTTTACAGATAAAGAAATAGATAGTCTGACATGATGTCAGGTCCACCCTTTTTATATAAACTTTTCTTGGATTTGTGGTGGAGGTGGGAATTAGTGGTCTCATATTACTGACCTTCTGATGCAATGTCGGGTCATCCTTTGTCGGGGTGGGGGATCAGAACGAAAACACCTCTCAGTAACTAAAACAGAGTACAATGTAAACTTAAGTGATGTCCTCTTGCTGTAAGGTAAAAAACCAATGTTGATGATGACCAATAAACATTGAACTCCATTTCTTACAAACATGTCGCCAAGAAGAAACAATGAGTGGATTGTAGCTCACCAGATGGCCATGAGGCAGTGTTCAGATAGATCAGTGGTACCCAAACTATTTAACATGAGGCCCCCTTTTGCTTTTTGCGAAGTCCTCACGGGGCCTTATATTTTTGTATGCGGTTAGTAAGCAGCTATCAAACAGGGAGGTACTGCCACCTGGGAAGATATTGGAAGCATAATGTGTTGTCTAATGGTAGACCCTGCTGCCATATGGCATCACAAAAATTGTGACCAAGTCCCAGGTTACTAATCTGACTTTCTGCCTCATTTACACACAATTGCAGTCTCAATTGTTTCTCTTACTTTGACAACAAAACATACATACATTATATTATTTCTCGCTCTTGATTTTTATTTTTATTTTTGCATTTCTTTATGGTTCTTTATTATTATTATTATTATTATTATTGATATTATTATTATTATTATTATTATTATTATTATTATTATTATTATTATTATTATTATTATTATTATTACAGTAGTACCCCGCTTAACGCGGTCAATAAAACCCACAGGGTACTGTGTTAAGTGAAAACCGCGCTAAGTGAACAACAGAACATATGGGATTAATTCCAATAGAAACTGGCCCGACCCCCAAACTCCACTTTTTGACGACACACAACTATGTTGTAGTAAAAATTTTATCTTAACTTTATGATGGTATGAAAAAACAAGTAATATAGAAGAGGTTAGGTTAGGAAAAATAAAGGTTAAGTAAGGAAAAATAAAGGTTAGGTTAGGAAAACTAAAAGTTATGTTGAACACTTATATTAGTAGAAGAGATGGGTCGGCGTACGGGGATGGAGGCTGGTTCCGAGGCAGAGGGCAGGCTACTGGCCCTCAGGTGAGTCACCATCACTGTCACTAACACTTGTTATGGCCTCCCTGACAAATCCCACAAAGTCATCTTCACTGTCTCTACCTCTGTCACTATCACTGGTTTGGGCTGGCTGTGGTGGGTTGTGGGCGAAGAACTCGGTTATGCTTTTTTGACGGCTGGTGTTTATGTTGTCTTGATACACCGTGATGTACGGCTCCATAGCCTGCACCAGCCGGGTATGGAAGACTTCATAGCGGTCATCGTCATTGTCGCGGGAAAGGAAGGACTTCATTTTCTCTGCACACTCCATGGCTCCCTTAATATCACTATGACTTAAACTGTGTTCTTCGGAGAATGACGCACCTTCTTCCTCCTCTTCACTGAAGTGATCTTCTTCTAACATCTCGTTGGCAGTCACTTCAGGATCTCTGATCACCTCCAGGATGTCTTCGTTGGTGGTCTCGGAGAAGCTTTCAGCTGTAATATTGAGCACAGCTTCTCTGGCAAGGTCCACTGCTTCTGCACCAGTCACAGGTTGACTCCTCTCAGCTGGTATGCCATGCAACACATGTCTCCATGCATGACGAATCGTAGCAATAGACAGCTGATCCCATGCCTCCACCAAGAAGTCTACAGCTTGTTTGACGTTAAACTTCTTCCAAAACTGTTTGACGAGAACTTCTTGAGTCACCACCTCTTGTTCCTTGTCCTCGTCGCTTTTACTCTCGCTGTCGGTGTCACCCAGCTTACGCAACTCATCCTTGGTGTTGGTAGAGTCGTTCAGGAGCTTGAACTTCTTTGCAGAGTACGCAGCTTTCACTCCTGGTCCATGGGCTGGATTAATGACGTAGTGTTGGGAGGAAGGAAGACCACTTTTACGTTGGGGTGACGATCCATAAGTAGGGGCGAGTGTCCAGGTGCGTTGGAAAGGAGCAACAAAATGTTGAATGGAACATTCTGTTGCTCGCAGAATTTCTTCACGTCGGGAACAAAACAGTCGTCAAACCAGAAGAGGGACAGAGAAGAGGACATCCACGCCTTACGTGCGGTTAGCCAGCGGACATTAAGCTTGTTCATGTCCATATTCTTGTGGGCGTGCTGCTTGCGGGCTGTGTGAATCACCGATAACTTTGGTTTACAGGTACCGGAGGCATTGGTGGTAAACAGGACGGTAATGCGTTCCTTCTGCATCTTCCGGCCTCGAATCTTGCTGGCATTCTTTACAACGAAGGTCTTGGAAGGTAGCTTTTTCCAGAAAAGACCTGGTCGTCAGTGTACTGTCCTTCCTCCATAACCTCACGTAAGAACGGAGGAAAATCTCTAGCCGCCACACGGTCAGCACTCGCTTCCTCACCACCAATGTTGATGTTGGTGATCTTGTTCCTCTTCTTAAACCTATGCAGCCAACCAGAGGAAGCAGTGAAGGGTTTGGGCTCTGCAATTCCCAGCTTACGTGACACTGCTGCGTATAGTTCACGTGCGTACTCCTGCACTGAGCGCGTGTCCACCGCCATGTTGCGTCGCGCCTGACGAATCAAATAACTCACCAGCAAATTTTCCACCTTTGCCAGCACCCTGTTCTGGCAATACTTGATCATTGAAGCACCTGCAGACTTTGTGATTTTCATGTGCTCTTTGATATTGGCTGCATCCTTCTTAATAGTGCGAATCATAGATTCGTTGACGCCATGCTGGCGCGCGAGATCAGCTTGCCGTGTTCCTTTCTCCAAATCTTGAATGATCTGGTATTTCACTTCGTAGCTTAGGCCACGGCGTGTCTTCTTGGGCTTAGGGCGGCTGGGTCCAGGTAAGGAAAGGTCTCTCTCTGGTGGCGGTGGTGGTCCGGCGGAAGCCATTTCACAGAACAATGGATTCACGTATGCACGGAGTGGCCTGGAGGGATGAAACTGCCGCGGCTAGGTCAAGCGTCGTCTTTCCTCCCTCCCTCCCTCCCGCGGGTGGACACGTCATAATACTTTAAGCCAATTACAGCTAGCAGCAGAGGGGGGGTAGGGATGCATGGCCAATCACAGTCCGATATGTCATATGACGTCACTGATAATGCAACAGAGACATGCACTGCGCAACCTTACCGCGCGTGGCTTGCCCAGGCGGAGGGAGGAGGCGGGAGCAGGCGGGAGGGGCGAATCTAAAAATAGCGTCTCGAGCTGGACACTCTCCACGTATACGTGGAAAAAACTCGTGTTAAGTGAAAGTTCGGCTCTGGCGAGGCACCGCGTATATGTGAAATCGCGCTAAGCGAGGTATTACTGTATTGTTGTTATCTTTATTATTTTATTTTTAATTTTGTATTTTTATTACTGTAGAATTTTTATTTACTATGAATTATTATTATTATTATTATTATTATTATTATTATTATTATTATTATTATTATTATTATTATTATTATTGTTATTGTTATTATTATTATTATTATTACTACTACTATTACATTTTTGCCCTCCAGGCTCCGATGTGGGTCAGTGACCTGTGCCCAGGATCAGATAACCCCTTGCATAGTGAACATGAATGAAAACAAATAAAACAAAAATAATACCAGTATAAAAGACTTTAATTATATACTGTACTTTAATAAGGAAGGATCGGTGGCTGGTAGTGTTGTGAAAGATACGAGAGTCAGTATGGTATCCAAGACACGTAAGGAGAGAGAGATGAAATGATGGAAAACGGATAGGGGTGACTGCTAGACTTTGGTTTTGCATAGATGTGTGGAAGATTCAAACGGAGAGAGAGTTAGTCCTGAAAGAGTTTCTTCATTATATTCTTTTTGAGCAAAAAATA